AAGCGTATTATATACGCTTAACTGCTCTTTCGATCGAGGGTATTATCGGTAAATAAGGAGTTACTATAGATTTCGATAGTATCGCTACTCCCTAGTTCTAATATAAACGATTAGCTATTAGTTAGATAAAGGATTAGATAATCGGCGGCCTTATAGTATATAGGCCCTGGATTAACATTAAAACGGTATAGCCTTAATACTATAAACGCGATATTAGGCCGCGATATTATTACTGCGTATAGTATAGATCCTATCTTCCGTTAATAGCTTTTAATATTAGTCGAGGTCCCTGAATAGGGTAGTAGTTCTACGATCTTAATTAGGTGTGTTAGGCGGTAGTTACTGCTATACTTACTATTACTGTTTAGCTTTAATAGGCGTTCTAACTTAGTAATATAGTCGTGTTATAATAGCTAGATTTTACGGGCGACGCGGTCGCAAATAACCTTAATACTAAGGAACTACTATAGAGGATCGCTACCTTATAGGTTATAGTGGCCTTATAGGTTATTAATAGCCTGCTCTATCTACGCCTTGTATTATTTCTTATAAGTAATAACATTATTAACGTAGAAGAATAGAATTAAACCGCGGCGTAGAAAATAACACGGTTCCTACGGCACTATCTAGAAACCGTCCGCTAAAAGGATAGCCGAAAAATACTTTTACTAAAGCAGTAAGGACTCCTTAAGTCTATATAACGCCTTTTTCAGGTGTAAACGACTCCTAGGGGCTAAAAAGCCTAGCGGCGGGTATATAAAGATATTATAGGGGAGGGGCGCGTGTATAAACGCGTTTATAACGTCGAATTATAGTAGCGTAAGGTTAAATCAGGCGGCGATAGCTATTAACGCGCGGAATAACCGTCCGGCTAGTATTATTACGTATATCACCTCGAGCGAGGATTAATACTACTAATCTCCGCACTATAAGCCTTACCTTATATTTATATAGAAACCTATACTTATCGAACTTATATATTATCACCTATATCGAGTTCAGAACCTCATTTCTATCTACTATAGACGCCGGCACCCGTATTATTAACCCTATCTCCTCGTGGCTCCACAGGTAGTCTTCTTATGCCTATCAGAATAGGTAGCCGTATAGGTGTAAGGGTATATTGCGAGGGTTCTTCAGAGGAGGAGGGAGGTCTTTACGATAGATCTTCGTGGCTAAGGCTGCCGGAATAACCGCCGGAGTAACCGCCGGAGCAGTGCTTCCCGAGGCTGCCGCCGGGGTTATATTTTCCGAGACAGCCATCGGCGCCGTGGTTTTAAGTAGTAGCGATAAACGCCGCTATAGCGTTATAGGAGTAGTCCTTTTTAACCGTAATTTAGTTAGCGGAGTCCTATCTAAGGTATATATATTTAGGGCGTTGCGGCTAGCATTAAACGCGGCTACCTATCTATCTCTTTCCTAGCTATCTCCTTTCCGAATTAGGCGCGCTCCTCTATTTAATAGGAGCCCTACGGCCGTAACCGCAGGGGTATCACGATTTCCTAATATAACGGCTACTATAAGCGCTATAACCGATAACGGCGTTACTAGTAAAGAGGGAAGCAGCGGAATAGCTAGTTATAGACGGTGATTAGGCGCTATACCTGCTAAATCGCGCTATTTATAACCTAACTTTTATCTAGCCTTTTCCACCCCCTTATGGCCGGGCATTACGGACTATAACCTTAACGGTAATGCCGTCGAGGAAGGGGATCCGGGGGGAACTCCCAGTATAGGGTCTAAATTAAAATAAGCAGTTATATAAAAGGGGGGGTCCTTAGCTTATACGTCTATAAACGGCCATGAATCTCTATCCCTCTCTTATTTAATCTAACTAATCAGGTCTTCTAATTACTCCTCGGTTAATTAACGGAGGTTATCCTTAAAGGCGTTAATATCGCCGTTAAAAAAGGTATATTCGTCGAAATCCATATCGCGCGTGCGAATAACACGGTTGTAGTTACGGCGTCCTGGTATCCAGATACGAAAAATATTAGTGGAATCATAGCCGACGAGGTAGCCGATATAGATATAAGGAGCGATACGATTTAATAGCTTATTAGCGCCCTTTTAGGCGTCCTTGGGTATTACGTATGCTTTATAGCCGTAGGCTCGGAGATATAATAAAATCGGCTTCCTTCTAAAAAGGACCTTGTATAGCGTTTTCTAATCCTTATTATTATCCTGTCTTTATAGCGTCCGGTTATAGACGTATACGGCCGTGGAAATAGCCTTAGGCTATATAAACGGCGGTAGCTTAGCGTGGATATTTATTGTATAACCCTTCGAAATAACCATAGTAGTAGCATATTCGGCACCCCTATTCTACGCTTAAGTATCGGTAGTAGATACCTCTAATAGAATACCCTCCTCACGTAGGAAGAGGGTGATATCGTTAGATTAAGTTAGCTCGTTATTAGATTCGAAAACACGCACCTTATAGCCTAGTTAACGGTCTACCTAGGCGAGGAATTCCTTAATTATTACGAGGATATCTACTACCAGCTTACTCTTTATAACGTAGGTGGCCGTAAAACCACTATAACGGTCGGTGAAAAATATAAACCGCGAGTCCCCGTCGGATATTCGGTTAGAATCCGTGAAATTAAACGCCTACCGCTCCCCTATATAGGCAGGTACGGTATAAGGGCGCCTACTAATATACCGTTTTATCTTTATAAGCTCGTAGGCCTCGTAGTCGATAGTTATTAGTCTTTTTATTTTAACCCCTTACGTCTACTCTTCTAGGTGCCTAAGTAGTTTAGAGCCAGCGTGTCCTAGTCGTAGATACTATAAGATACCCTCCGTAATACTTAGAAAACGTATTATCGATTTATAGACGGCTTTTCGGGTAGAAAAAGAGCCTAGAAAAGTAGCCGTAGATTAGTTAGAGGGCACGTATTTAATAATAGTTTAATCGAAATAGTAACTTAGCTAGTATAGTATAAATCTATCGGCACGTTGCAGGCAGTTATTTAGTGGCTTCTAATTCTACTAGTATTCTTATAGTCGTAACCGTTAGTTTAAGATTAAATTATAGGCAAAATCTTCGTAGTATATAACGTTTAACAGTCTAAAGTCGAGGCCTCCTATTAGTCCGTTTAATCTTACGGTTATATTACCGTAACCTTTAATAGGCAGCGATAAGCTGCCTATAACTACGTAATCTCCCTGCGTAGCGGGTGTAAAATCAGAAAAACCGGAAAAATCGTTAAATATATAAATAGTGGTACCGGAATTAAGGATAGTAGAGGCCCGACGAGGGTAACTAGTGTAGTGCCCGCCGTAAATATAGTAGCATGGGAGACGCCGCTATAGACGTTACTATAGTCGAGTCACGCCTTTTTAAGCTATGCAGAGTCCCGGCTTATATCCTTTTTTACGTTCTTTACGGCGCGTAGTTCTTCCACTTCCGCGCGTAGTGCGGGATCGTATTTAAGGATCTATTAGACGGTTATTTTAGTGCTCTCGAAGGGCGTCTAGTCATTATTTACCGTATCCGGGAATAGATAGACGTAGTCGTTAATATCGTGACTAGGTATCGTATATATGCGGTAGTGCACCCCTTATTTAAAGGCTGATTAGCGTTTTTTAGAAGAGGAATAATTAGTTAAAGTAATAGAAGGTGTGGCTATAAATACCGTGGTAGTGTGATTCTTAGCTTTATTCTTCCCACGGCCGCCCTTCTTACGGGGCTTAGCCGTGGCCTCTAAGGTATCTTCACCCTCCTCGCTTCCGGGATATAGTATAGGGAATACTATAGCGCGGTAGCTACCGCGTTTTCCTTAGTCTTTAAGTCTAGTATTAATATATTTCTGACCGAGGGTGTAAAGGTCTTCGGGTATAACTACTTAGTTATCTATAAGGCGTCCCTCGGCCTTAGTCTAATCGTGGCCGGTATAGGGGCGTATACCTCTAAAGAAATCTACAACCTATATATACGTGGCGGGCTTCGAACCGGTATCTTTATAGCTCTACAGTAATAGCTACTACTTATCTAACCACTCCCCGAGCTTCTTAAGGCTATTCATAGGGTAACGAGTATACTCGATATACTCTTCGTGGGTATCGGTTTAGCGGGTGGCTAGGTATTAATCCGTATCGTATTTAACGGCTTTGTATACCTCGCAGGGTATACCTCCTTATAGTAGTTATCTACGGCTTTAGTCGATAGTATTATAGTATTAACTTACTAGGTTAATATAGCGTTAATCCCCTTTAGGTAGCTATCGTATTACGCTTATAGAATCTCCTAGCGCGCGATTTCGATATCGTACGCCTTCTAGCCGGCGTCTATAAGGTCGAGATATTACGCAGGGATACGCCTAGGCGTTATAGAGGGGAAAGAGCCGTAATTCGGTATTATAGGCTCCTTAGGGGCTTAAGTCGGATTAACTAGGCGGAGAAACCGCCACACGTTATTATAGGTGGTAACCGATTTATATAGGCCTCGCTAGAGCTCCTAATCCTTATAGGTTTTATACGTAATAGGGCTAAGATACGATATCTTAATAGTTATATATAGATTAACACGCTATATCGGCGCGACTAGGTTACTTTTTAATCGGTAGTAGTAAAGGTAGGTAAAAAGGGTATATCTTCACTTAGTCAGTAAGACTCTTAATTATTAAATAAAGCGTAGTTAAAATCGTTATAAGAATAGGTTAAAATTAATTAAGGCAATTATATATAATTATAACTCTCTTAGACTATCAGGGAAACGCTGCCACCGTATTTTATATAGTGCAGATTCTGCAAGCGTCTACCCGGATTATACTCTTAGCAATCCGGCCTATTACGTAACCGAAAAAGACTGTGGTCTGTTCGACAGGTATAAGGGTCAAACTGGTGATGTATATCATGATAAGCTAGAGTATCTAGTGCTAGAGCGAAGTGGAATAGCTATGTACTACGTGTCACGTGACTCTAGTGGCTAGCCACTATGGTGTGGCTCCGCCACAACAATGGTCAGATATACCACCGCGAACAGTGGGGCTTGGATAAGGCCAAGTAAGAGGTGCGAGAAAGCCGAAGGCCCTGCCTTGATAAAGCCAGCACGACTCTTAACCAGAAATTTCCTATACGAGATTAAAATCTCTCCATAACAGCCCGCCCGAACATCGGACAAGGCAGCAGGAGAACTATTGCAGCTTGTTCGCGAGACTTGTAGCTTGCCCATCATGCGCACGACTCTTCGGCTCCTTGCCAACGTCAGGCAAGCTTGGTATTTGGAGCCTGGCACGCCAACCGGTCTTACTGGTCTATGGACGCATAACAATCCGAGGTCGGCGCTTCTCTACATCTACAGTAACACGCTCGAGAAATTAAAGTCTTTCCCCGAATCATCGCTCTATCGGCAGTCAGTCGAGTCTTTTACCAAGCACCGTCTTGCCATTGTCGAAGGCATGACTCCCCCGGGCTACGATGCCTGGAAGACGGAGACAAACGAGCTGTCTCGCATTTTGGACAACAACCCCGAAGGCTTTCGTGTTGCCAGTGGGCGTGTGGATGGGAGCGAAGCCAAGATCGTGAAATTGGGGAACAAAACATTCGTCGTACGGAGGCAACACGAAGAGGGCGATATTCGACTGGAGGAGTGGGATGGCGAGGCTGACGAAGGCCCGGGTACCGAGGGCCTTCGGACTGAAGAAGAGAGAGCCAACTTGCGGGTCCTAGCCGAACGAAAGGACCTAAGAGACGTGTCTCCGTTGCAATGGAAAGAGGAGCCGCAGCTGACAGCTGACCAGTACGTGTCGCACTCGACAATGCCATAATGAACTGAATACAGATGCTGCTGGAGAGGTAGCAGAGCTAACTTGTATTGTCTAGGATCTCGAAACTTGAAACCAAACTCGGTGCTGGTTTGATTGAGGAGGTCATTCAAGTAGCTGAAGGGGAGCTTCAGCTGGTTGACACCATGCTTAAAGCGAGGGTGTAAGTCGATGGCCCGACTTGTTACCAACTCCCCAGAGGTAATCGAGTTGTCCAGCTTGAGCTAACATGACATAGGTGGGAGGAATTGGAAGAAAAGCCCGCAGGTGACCAGTGGATCTACAGTGAGCGTGATTCTCAGTAGGTTCACTTGCTTCACCAAGTTACTTTGTGATATAGGGATGTGTATACTACTTTCGGTCGAATGCCCGTTATCTATGATATCGATTTTACGTAGCTTGACGATATCCGGGTTGACAAGCAGGAAGGCTCTCATAAAAACCAGAGTTCTCCGTGGAAAGAAGGGGCACCTCCTCCTTCAGCCCGTTTTCGGGTGCCTTGTTCTGATAACTGATTCGAATATCAACAACGATTCAGGGCGTTTTCACTAAAGCAGGCAGCTTCTGGGTTATATTCCTCCCACCATCGAGTAGATCTGTCAGCTGCCGATCATAGGTAGAGAATGGAGTCCGTCGCAGCCATTTTACAACGAAGTGATCTGTCCCTTCCATCCCCAGGCCACGATGTAGTGGCCAGCAAGCAGTTGCCATTCCTCAATCTCATCGAGTCTTTCTATAGCATCTATCCTCCTCTTTTCATCCTGTGAAATCCAACATTCCCAGATCTCGTCAATAGTCATTGTCTTTGCTTGCGTTAAACCTGCCTCAAGTAGACGCGTTTGTTGGTCTATGGGCAGCGGATAACATTCCAACGTTGGCATGCGTAATTTTCGGGCAGCTAGGTTAGAAACCATCATCCTTCCAAAGGCGTCATAGGGCTTGACTGGTTCGTAGATCACGACAGCGAGGTTCGGAATGTGGTCTGTGAATCGCTGAATAACACCTTTCGCAGTTGACGGCTCAAGATAGCACAGGCAGCATTCAGATAATAACAAGGTAGGGAGGTCAACATTTAGACCCCTCACGGAAGACAATGACGCATCCGTCACGAGATGTCGGAGGTCCAGTGCATGGCAATGGTATTGAACTCCTGTGAGTAGCTGGCAGGCCCATGATCCGTCATCAGCAAGGGACAGGTCTCCCAGCAGCTGTTTCAGGGTGGGAGTCGCCTGGATTATGTGTGCCTTCTTCCTGGCGATGGCAGGAAAGTCTAGCTCATGGTAAACAAGGCCAGGGAAAGCACGTCGGGAAAAGAGGCGGAATATGCGAGTATCCGTCCCCGCCCCGAGAGAGATAATTTGAATCTGGGGGACTTCGGCCGCCGTTTTCGCTCCTTGGTCGTCACCACACGTTGATGCTGCCAACGGGGCCTGCTGGGCTAAAAACGAATCGATAAGGTGATCCAAGGCGCGGGTCCTTGTATATGTCCCTAATCGACAAACTAATCAGAGCGATGTCCATGCGCCCGGGACGACAGCCGGATCAGGACAGACTTGCCTCTGTTAATGATGGGTAACCGTCGTGGGGAAGGGCGGCCGCCGCCGCTTGGCGTCTCGATAAAGTGCTGGGCAAAGGGGTCGTCCAAATAGCCAAGGTCCACCGCACTCAAGCGTGACACAGCAGCATCGTCATCGGTGCCTTGGACGATCCGGTCTTGTGTAGAGGTGGGCGTCCGTTCGACGGTCTGTGAGTCCGATCCCTTATCCCGACCGAGACCACGAAGCCCAGTTCTGGCACTTCCAGATCGTGGATTCTTGTTTTCCCGAAGAGAGAGAAGGTTCGGAATTGAGTTGGCTGACATGCCTTACTGTCAGGTATGGCACCGAAGCCGAGGGAAGGGTGCTTACTCCGCGTGAAAGTGATACGAAGGTGAGTCCTGCGGCTAATCGAGTGAGCGACTGGCGGAGCTGTATGTTTATGGAGCAGTATAGAACTAAGGCTAGGGGCTATCCACTTAAACTATAACTTATAAAAGTACTAGCTATCGTATACCCTATGTATATAGTTGATTTCGAGCCTACTGGCAAAATATAGTGGTTAATATTATTTTTACTATAGATATTATTTTAACTATTTAGTTTTCTATATATTAAAATTAATATAATGTTTATAATTTTTATATTATTACTATTGTTATTCTTATTCTTCTTCTTCTTACTCCGCTATCCTATCTAATCTATAAGAGCCTAACTAGGCTATATAGTCCTTCTTAGGGCTTTTACTATAATATATTACTAATAAACATGCCTATTAACCACGGGTATATAATAAAGTAAAATCGATAAAATCACTAAGATAGCGATTATAACTATTACCTCCCTCCTAGGATACTATTATAGCGGTACTATTTATTATTATTATTATTATTATTATTATTATTATTATTATTATTATTATTATTACTCCGCTATCCTATCTAATCTATAAGAGCCTAGTTTAGACTATATAGTCCTTCTCAGGTAGCTATAAAGGGGAAAACCCGGGATCCCGGGGAAAACCTTTATACTTATCCTTAGTTAGAGTCGTGCCGCTACGGGGCTAATATAGCCCCGGTTCGTCCTTTCTATATATCTGGATTATACCTTTAGGCTAATAGCTAATAGGAAGGGTAGTAGGCTATAGTTCGGGTTAGCCTAGGCCGGGTATTAGTAAGGGGGCGGGGGCTAAAAGGGTACCGCGGCGTCTCTACTATATAGCGGCCGCGGCACGCCGTCTCCGGCCTCCTTACGTCCCCGGGGATTATACCTATTATTCCTT